AATTTACACCATGGATTAACACGGTTAGTCAAAATAATAACGTGAAAACTACTAATCAATAAAAAAATGTGCCATGTGTTTTAGTTTTATTGTTTGTTCCTTGGTAAGATCAATTTATTGTGAATTAGTGTGCGAGACAAAACATTTAACAAAAATAAAGTTATGATATTTAATCATGAAATTTTTATAAATATCAAATCGTGAAAAACGATATTGTTAGGGACATATAATGGTCAAAAGGATATAATAATTTTTTTTTCTCAAAACCTTCAACAAACATTTAAAGGATATCTTGATCATTTGTGTCAATCTAACAAGTCAGATCGATTTAACATTATCAGTGCCAACTCAATTTGCCCTATCATAATTATCTCCTTTTTGTCCCCTCAACTTATCTATAAATATAAAGGCTCAGGTACCATGAAGTTAGTTTCATTATATTTATCTCTCTTTCCTTCCTATTTTCTTACTTCCTTCATGACCTAATCTTAACTGGCGCATTGGAGTGCAAGCGCAAAAACACCCCATACTTTTGCTTTTAACCATTCATCTTTTTTACATTTACAATAATACCTTCAAATTGGAGCTCGACACCAACAGATATAATTTAAGGACTAAATCACACATTAACTTTTTTTTATTATGGAAGTTTTGAAATGTAATCACTTATAAATTTTTTAAATTTCTAAAAAGAGAAGACAAATGGAGATATTAATTCATGATTTTTTTTTTCATAGTTAAAATCATTTAAACTAAGATTATATAGAAGATATGTGATGGAAATGTTTGTTCCCATATGAAAGCAAAGGCTTACTAGGATTATTCAATTCCGAAGCAAGGTGTAAGCCTTTACCCTTACGGCATACGTGGCACTTTTGGTTCTTAATTTTGTTGTTGAGGATGTAAAGAAGTAAATTAAAGATATCATCAATTACATGATCCGTTGGTAGAATATTAAATTTTTAATCTTAATTATTAAAGATTAAATCTTGATAATTTTAAATATAAAAAAAAATTGAAGTTGAAGGAAACCGTTCTTGTGCACATACGTAATGATTTGAAAGGATATGGGAATGCCATCACAGATATCTATTGGTTTTCCTTTCTATATTGTTATTAGAATCAATTTTATAAGCACAATGCTAGAAAGATGCATATTATCGATAGAATTATATTAACGAAAATTTGACATTGATAATTATTGATGGATTATAGACGAAATGAAAAAATAAAATTATTAATTTATTATGGATAGATTATTATCGGTAAACGAAATTTATTCTGTTTGTAATATTTTATTTTTTAGTAATTATCAATATTTAATGTATGAGTTTTAAACAAATATTAGAGAATTTGATGCAAGTATTTAAGTATGATTACAGAATTTTTTATTTAAATAATTTTTTATAATCACTTCTCTTATCTTCAGGCTTTTCTTTGTAAAAAAAAAATTGGTCCTTGTATCTTGAAAGCTTGCTGCAACAGTCTTGATGCCTAGTTTCGAATACATTTTTCAACTTGTATAATGTCTGGTGACTAATGTAAATAATGAATCCTGAAGTTAGATCATGCTTGATTATTTGTTTGAAAATGATTTAAGCTTTGGTTTCAAAGCGTAACGGATATGGATCCAATGTCAAAACGACGTTCCACTACGCTGAAAACTCTTTCCACTGCACTTTCCAACGACCCCTTATCCAGGAGATGGATAACTTTCTTTATTTTTATTTATTTTCTTTTATGATCTCATAATCCCATCATCAGTCCCTTTCCAAATCTGCATATCTTTCCTTGCATTTTCAGCTAAATAAGGACATTGCAAAACAAACAGGTCCAACTGTAAGGATTTGACATCCATGATCCAACACTTTATATCCTGCTTTAAAAAAAGGAAAACAAAACAAAACAAAAGGGAAACAGCTGCTTTTGCCATGTTTGAAGACTGTTCTAATCATGAGTGCCAAGCATTATTGTCAAAGTCCTAGATAGTTTCATGTTCCATTTAGTTTAAACCCAACATGTCACTCCAACACACTCAATAATTGGACTTAAAAATTATATAAAAAATTAGATCTCAAGTTTAAACAATCTAAATAGTAGATCTAAGCATTTTTATATCCATGAGATATTTATTTGGTGTGAAACTCAAAAATATTTACATCTCAATTCTTATCCACTTATCAAATAGGAAATATATTTATTTTTATTTTTATTATATTCATATATAATTTTTACAACAGTTTTAAACTATATTATTTTAGAATTTTTTTCATATTATATCATATCATATTTAAAATTACTTTATCTACTAACTCAATCTTATGTCACTCATAAAACTCATTAAAATTAATCATAATTTACTCTATTTTATTATCGTTCATAAGAATTAGGCTCATCCTGGATTTTTTTTATTAGTAAGGGTTACATTAACATTGAAATGTATGAGACAAATCAAAATCAAATAATCATTGTAATTATGAATATTCTTAACATGTTCCTACAAAATGTCGCACCTTTTTTGTTGAGACATAAGTATTGAAAAATCATAATTTCATCTTTCAATCAATGCTTATCATAAACCTGGTTACAGCAGATAAAATCAAGTCTCCCTGCTTTGTAGAGGCGGCAATCATGAAGGAGGGAGATAATGATCCATGCCTTCCACACTGAAAATGATTGTTGTAACATGTTAATGTGATTGGGTGACAAGGGGCCCACGCATTTGGACCTTGTCTGGATAACCACTATGTTACACGTGTCAACATCAGAAAGCATGACAGGGACTTTTGGCAACGTCAAACATCCTTTCAATCCCACTTAGGGACCGTTCTTTTTTTGAGAAATTCCCTCGTCACCGTCAGATCATCATAAAATTCTGTGGTGAAGATGAAGGAGGTTAGTTAATGGGACCGAATGCAAGGTGCCCCGTACCTAACTACCCTACGCCTAACATCTTCGCTACAAAATCCCCAAAAAGACCCTTAAGAGGGGTCCCACACATGTCCCTACGTAACACATTCTGGGACCCTCCAGCGTGGCAGGGTGACCCCATGTGTCTTAAAGTGCTCCTATCCAAAGATTAGACATTGATTTCTTTCCCCTTTTTTTTTAAAACAGATAGGGTTCAATATAAAAGACCCTTTTACCCCGCGTGATTAAGGGCGTTAAATACTACTAACTTAAGGACAGGGTGCCCTTAAAAAGATTAAAAGTCATTGGTTTGTAATATCATGACGGCCGTCCATGTGCCTCCTGTTTATGTTCTCATGCCCGCATGTGAAGGGATTTCCTCGATCTCGCCAAAAAAAATAAAAATAAAATAAAAATTAATGAAATTTGGTGCAATTACTTAACCCACCATGTGATTACTATTAATAAGGTATCAAAATTAACTCAATTGATCCATGGTAGCATTAAATAAATATAAAATTGTAAATTGTAAATTTTTATATAAAATAATAATTTAAAAAAATTATTGTCGGTAAAAAAAATTAAATGTAAACATGTAAATTGATATATAAATTGTACTACACATATGAAATTATTAAAAAAATTGGAAAATCTTATCGTGGACTAATGCTTTTGAATAATTAAGATTGATTATTGAATTATTGTGTACCTTGCAATTGTACTCAGACTTTGTTAAAAAATATATAGTCCTACTAAACAACCTTATCTCTTTCAATTTATAAATAAAGTTTAAGGGTTAATATTTTAATACATTTTAAAAATATTATTGACACATTATTTTTTTGGTATATTTGAAACATATTTAGATAAGAGGAAATTCCAAACTTAAATATCAATTTTCTTAAAGATAATAGTTACTTTTTATCCATTCGTATATTTATTGATAAAAAAATTTATCTATTCAAGCGATTTATCACTAAAAAATATAGGTAAAAGCGTCAAAAGATTCAATAATCATTTAAGTTCATAATATTTTATTATAATCAAGTATTAAATCTTTTATTATAAAAGTTCAATAATCATTTAAGTTCCTAATATTTTATTATAATTAAGTATTAAATCTTTTATTTTGAATGAGTTTAACTTTAAATATTTATTTTCATCTAATTGAACTTTTAAACATTTATTTTCACTCAATTAAACTCTCAATTGAATGATTGTACATAAACAATTAAACATTTTTCTTTACAAGTGGCTTAATTGATGAAAATAAATATTTGAGAATTTAATTGATTATAAAAATACAATTGAGGTTTGAATGATCATTGAATTTTAATTTAAGGATTTTTTTATCCTTTTGTCAAAAATATATTTAATCTTTTGATTTCAAGTTAAAATCTATTAAATATGGGTTTCATTAAATTATATATTCATTTGTTGTTTATTTAGTTTTTTTTAATTCTTAATTTATCCTTAAACTCCGTACAATTTTATATTTCTGACTGAAAAAAATATTACATGTATAAACTCTTTCCAATCTATAATATTTAAATGCCAACTCTGATGATTTAATTCATTGTTTATTATTTTGTTTTCTTAACATATATAAACAATTATTTGATTATAACTCTAATTTTTACTAATACATATCATTTTATAAAAAAAGATGATAACCACTTTTTATCCATTATCAATATACTTAAGCTCGTAAGATTTTAAAATTTTGGTAAATTTATTGGAATAATGGATAAAACTATAGTAACTCAAATATAATTTTTTATATAACTTATTGTTTATTAAACATTAATGGAGTTTCTTTATTGGAATAAATTAAAAATTTAAAGGATATAGCTGTGTTATTAATTTCAAAGTAAAAAAATTAAAAATAATAAATAGAAAAAGAAGTCCCCCATTTAAAGGCTTTATATGCATTGACATGACAATACTACTTGAATGGTTAATGGCAAAAGTTGATAGTGGGAGGGAGCTTATCAGAAAGTGGGGTGGCCCAAATTCACAAAAACAAGAACAAGAAAGTGAGGAACCAAAGCAAAGCAAAAGCAAAGAAATGAGTAAGAAATAAATAAAGGAGGAAGCATTATTTATTTATTTTTGTTGAGATTTGAGAGGAAACAATCCAAAGACAAAGGCGGCTTTAAGCTTAGTTTTGCTTTGCTTGTCAAGTTAGCTTTGGTTTTTCCTCTTAATCTTCTTTCATAAAACGACAAATATAAACAGAACATAAACATTTTTTTTTTCATTATTATTATTATTATCATCATTGTTTTCTTTCCTTTTCTTTTCCTTTTCTTGTTTGGATCGGATCTGGAAGAGCTTAGGAGAAGAGAAACACAAAAACAAGGAAAAACCTCCCAAAGAAAAAGCTGTGTCACTTTTCTCTTCAAAAAAACAGCTTTTTTTTTTCCTTTAGTGTGTTTTTCATTTCATGAAAGATTTCACCTTGCCTTGCATTGTTTTCTCTGTTCTATGATCAGGTAACTTGTTTTTGCCCTATTTAAAGTTTTTATCTTTGATGCGTTCTTTTCTTTAGCTTTTTTTTTTTTTTGGTCAAGTTTGGATTTTTTAAGCTTGTTTTTATTGTTCACGCATTTTCTTAGTAATCAAAGTTTGCATTTTAGCTCTCAAAAAGTAAGAAAAAAGTTTGCATTTTTGGGTTCTTGAGAAACTTGAAAGTTATATGTTCTCTTTTTCTGGCTTTGCCTATGCTTCTAAGGGTTGGAATTTTGCATTCATTTGATTGATATCTTGGTATATCTGCAATCTTTGGTGTTTTCTTTAATTGTAAAATTTTTTGGTTATTATATTTTGCTTGAATTTAAAGACTTTGGTGTTGAAATTTCATTTCTTGGTTTCAACAGCTTAGGATTTGAGTATTTGTATTTTGTAACAGTTGATTTTGTGTTTTGGGACATTTAAGTTGGAAGATTCTATAATTAATGGCTTCATCATAGAGTTATCATCTAGAGGAAAGGGGTTTACTTTGCTAAATTGGATTTGGTTTGGCAGTGGTAGGTGCTGTTGAATTGTTCAATGGAATCACTTGTTATTTCTTCATCAAAGAGTCAAAATCCTGGTTCTGCTATAGGCAACAATAACCCTCCTTCAACATCTGGGACGCCTAGGCCTTCTCGGCCTCCATCTCCCAAACAATCTAGAAATGAAAGGCCTTCTTCTACATCCCATGTAACTACTCTTAATCACGGTGTCAGGATTGTTCGACATCCAAATGGTTCTATAGGCTATCAAAAGCATTCATACAAAACAGCCTATGACAACTTGCAGCTTGAAGAATTGCCTAATATGGCAAAACACTATCAGGATTCGAGTAAGGGGCAAATCTGAATTGGTGGGAAAGAATGAGGTTCTTATTTCTAGCCAGACGAAGATGTTGCCAGTGCAAGGTAAACCTTCCTTCAAACATCTCATTGATGATCATAAGAGTTCGAATTCAAGTGGTTCATTGGAATCTGAAAAAATTGTACCAGGTTCATGTAAAGGAGGTGTTGTGCAGTTGAACAACCATATTGTATCCGAATCAGAGCCAAACTTTTGTCCAAGTCCTTCAAATAGTATGTGCACTGGCACGCATTATACCGAAGCCAAACAAAGTTTCACCAATACAGAATTTAGTGAATGTGCAAGTAGTGTTGACAAGTCTGGTGAGAGTGGTGAAGTGAGTAATTCCTGCGATTTAGTTGAGAGTAGGAAGACAAGCATCTATAGAGGGAGCACTGGTAGTGATGTTAGTGATGAGAGCAGCTCTAGTGGTCTAAGCAGTGCCATCTACAAGCCCCACAAAGCAAATGATATAAGATGGGAAGCAATTCAAGTTGTCAGATCTCGTAAGGGAGACTTGGACTTTAAGCACTTTAGGGTGCTGAGGAGACTGGGATGTGGGGATATAGGCAGTGTTTATCTGTCGGAATTGACTGGAACTAAAACTTATTTTGCCATGAAGGTTATGGATAAAGCTCTTTTGGCAAGTCGTAAGAAGCTTCTCAGAGTCCAGACAGAGAGAGAGATTCTCCAATCTCTTGATCATCCCTTCCTACCAACCTTGTATACACACTTTGAGACAGAGAAGCTTTCTTGCTTGGTGATGGAGTTCTGCCCTGGCGGAGACTTGCACGCTCTCAGACAAAGACAACCTGGAAAGTACTTTTCAGAACAGGCTGCCAGGTTAGCTATTGGTCTCCTTCTCCTTGTCCATTACTCTTTATGCTCATGTCTGCATTATTGCATTTTTATTTTAACTGCTGGAAGTATTTAAGATTTTTTTGAAAACCCATGGATCCATTTCCCTATAGGGCTCAATTGCCCCATTAGATGTACAATGTAATGCTGCTAGGAAACTCGTGTTACAATTTCATTGGTATTCTGGTTCACTTCTCTATAAAGAACCATAATAAAAATAAGAAACCTCCTTTGTTACCTGAAAATTGGAATAACTTGTATCAAGTTTCTCATATCCAAATCCATGACATTATCATCTCTATTGGGCAGCAAGCATGGAATCCTGAGGCTGAGATGTAATCCTCTATCTAAAAACACCTTTGTCTGTTCTTTTAGTTTTTTAGGCAACATGAACTTTATATTGATCATTAAACCTTTATATCCCTCCTTTTTTTTTTTTATAATTTTAAATATAGTTTACTTTTGTCGACAATGTTTTCTCTGTGTTGGTTTGTGGATTCCCAATTGTTATCTTGTTCATTCAGGTTTCTTCAACATATCAGATGTTTAAGGAAGTATTCATATTCTTACCCCTCTTCTCTAGTTTGCAGATTGAAATAAGTTGTGTTCTTCTGCATATCAGATGATATTGTGGTCTGATATGGACAGATTGCAGAAAAAAAAGTATAGCCAAGTAATTGCTACTAACCATTGTCATCTTTTCTGTTGCTCTGTAGATTTTACGTGGCAGAAGTTCTCCTTGCTTTGGAGTATCTGCACATGCTTGGGATCATTTACAGAGACCTTAAGCCGGAGAATGTTTTGGTGAGAGAAGATGGACACATAATGCTTTCAGATTTTGACCTCTCTCTTAGATGCGCTGTCTCTCCTACTCTGGTCAAATCTTCAAACCCAACCCTGGGATCAAAAAATTCAGCATACTGTGCTCAGCCTGCATGCATTGAGCCAACTTGTGTAATGCAGCCAGATTGTATCCAACCTGCATGTTTTGGACCACGTTTCTTTTCAAGCAAGCCCAAGAAAGAAAAGAAGAGCAAAGCAAAGAATGAAACAAATCATCAAGTAAGTCCTCTTCCTGAGCTCATTGCTGAACCTACCAATGCTCGATCAATGTCCTTTGTGGGCACTCATGAGTACTTGGCACCTGAGATCATTAAAGGTGAAGGCCACGGAAGTGCCGTAGATTGGTGGACATTTGGGATCTTTCTGTATGAACTTTTGTTTGGTAAAACCCCATTCAAGGGTGCAGGGAACCGGGCAACTCTCTTTAATGTGGTTGGCCAGCCATTGAGATTTCCAGAGTATCCAAATGTGAGCTTTGCTGCTAGGGACTTGGTCAGAGGTTTACTAGTAAAAGAACCACAGCATCGGCTTGCTTATAGGCGTGGTGCTACTGAAGTTAAACAGCATCCATTCTTTCAGAGTGTGAATTGGGCACTCATTCGTTGCGCAAATCCACCCGAAGTGCCAAAGCTAGCCATGATGGACTTTTCTGCCAGAACCGACATGGCAAAAGTACCTGTCGATGACAAGGTTCCAGGTGTAGATGTGAAACCTTCAGGTAATTATTTAGAGATTGATTTCTTTTAATTCTGTGATTATTTTTCTCTCTTATAAACAATGTTTCCACCATCACCTCAGTCAAATCGTTAGTTCCTTGTGTAGCACATGATGTAACTTCTCTTTGAACTTGAAGCCTGATAAACAGCACCGCGAAATACAAATGAATAGAAATGAGGAATGAAGTTGCCGCTCTTATCTTTTTTTATTCAAAACGTTTCTTGCATATTTAGCAGTTTACTTCTATACCTTATGTTTTACCAACAACGGTATGAAACAGGTAACGAAAGATGTTTCATCATGATTTGAACATGCTTAAAGATTAAACTGTTTTTCCTCTTCGCAAAATTACCAAGATCACTCTAAATCATGGTATATCTGTATACAAATTTGGTTAATGAAAGATAAGAAAGGCTTGTGTCATGGAATGCTTTCAATTCTTTATTGTATGGGAGAAACTTGGTGAAGTTGCTTTGGACTACAGTTTGAAACAAAAATATTTGTGCAAAATTTGCAGCCCAAATTGTAATGATAATGCCCCCACCAACTCAACCGTGGCAAATTTTTTCAGAGTAAGAGCATGCATCAGCAGATAGAGTACCTATTGAATATTTTTATTAAATTTGATAATCAATATTCAATTATGAATATTCATAAATTTCCAAGATTATATTTTATCTATTCACATGGTAGAGCAAAAGCAATAAATTTTGATATACCAATTCTATCCATGTGAGAAACAAGAATTTTCTTGTGAAGTTGCAAATTCATAACCTGTGGCTTGAATTAATTGCCATTGGAATCACTGATGCTAAACAAGCAGGTCATTAAAAGAAAAGACTTCTGAGAATTAGCAAGCAGCACCCAATAGGCCAATACCAATATTATTTACTGAAATTTCAATAGCCCTGAGTAAGCCTATAATCTTTAAGGCTGAAGTGTATCGTCCTAAAGGAAAAATCAATTTTTGTTATGTGCTATTATCTCTTGTACCAACCTCAGTGTTGTTCCTGTAACTTTCTCTCCATATGCATCGATAGCCTGCATAATCGCTCCATAAGCTCATGTTTGGATTGTTTACTCTCGAAATCCCTCTGAAGAAGTAACAGTTCTCGAGCCATACTCTTAGCTCTCCAGGTTCCATCAACACTGAGTTGAAGCAGACCAGGCTCCATCAATATCTATCCTCTGTATTTATCTCTACAGCTCTGGCATGTACGAAGGAGGATTCCCACTGCATGCACTTTGCATTGAGGAGAACCTTCTTCAACTGCCTCTACTAAAATCCTAATTGCTCCAGCAGTACTGACTTTTTCCTGAATTGAATTCTCCGAGGACGAAATAATATTTTTTTAGTAAAGCCATTGCCTTCTCTGTTAGCTCTGATGATTTTTTGGAACAATGGATGAGTTGAAGCAAGCTATATGTTAATATTACACCAGAAGAGGCAATTGATGGAACTATCTGATAGCAAGTTGAGAGATTATGGAGTGTAGCTATGGCATCTATCCTTGCTTGCATGGTAAAGCAACTAATATTGTTGGCATCATCATTTACCAGGTTTAGGATTTCTGCGAGGAGTTGTTTAGTTCCTGAAGAAACCGGATCAACATTGCCAAGATTGCAAGTTCAATCAGTTCCTCACTTTGACATTGAAGAAGGTTTAACAATTCTGGTTTAACCGCAGATTTTACAATCCTGATTTTGTTTCTGCTCAAAGAACAATACAGAATTAGCTACAGAAATTTCTTTGGATTCTGCATATGGAAGAAGAGAAGTAATGAACATTTGAGAGAAGCAAGCAAGAGACCAAACCTTTCACTGGCAAGGCTAACAGGGAAGCTTCAATGGCTTCATAATCTTGTGACTGAAGCATTGAAATCAATGGTGAAATAATCCCTTTTTGGCCAATCTATGCCTTTGCTTGCTGCTGCTTAGTTTACTGAGTTCAGTTGCAGCTTGAATCTACATTTCTCTATTGCCATTGTAAAGATTTTCCAACACCAAATCCTCCATGGAAAGAGAAATGAACAAAAAATGGTTATTAATTTTTCTCTCCTCTATGCTTACTCTCAAAAGTTCTCTACACCAAGGCAACTGAAGAAAAACTAATAGTATTGATTTTCGCTGCTTGAAGAAGTGATGATAGGCTTTTGTGGGTATCCATTGTTTCAATTTGAAGGAAGCTGGCTATTCTCTTTGGTCACTTTTTTTTTTTTTTTAAAGTCTGATTTGGAAAAAGAAATACAAAATATCCAAACACAAGAAACTATTCCTATGCATGATTATGAATCTTTAACTTTCCTTTTATAAAAGCAAACACCTTTAGCTTTCTTCTTCTTCTTCCTTTATTATTATTATTTTTTTTAAATTTAGAAAAAGGAAATCAGTTGCTTTTTAAGCAATTAATCATACACCAATCACTTAATCAAATGGTCAGATGCAGCACCATCAGATTTCTTTTTTTTTTTTTTCTTTTATGGTAGGCTAGATATATTGCACAAGGAAAATAAGGATAGCTTAAAAAATATACTATATATTTTGGGTCCTAACCTCTTCTCCAATTTTGTGAAATTATAAATTTTTCTCTAAATCTGATTTTTTTTCAAATTTGCTCTAATTTGATTTATTAATTAAATTCCAATTAATTTTCCTTCCTGGCCAAAAAAAAAAGAGCAATCTTAGTTGTTGAATGATGTCCAAATTTGGATAGGATTTGAAACGGTGTGATAGAATTCTTTCTCACTAACCATTCAAATGAAACATGAATCTCGGATATTTGCTTTTCTTAATTCTCTTTCTTTAACCATACCCTAATCTTAACATTAAAAAATGGATAAAAATATTACAAAATTATGTCAAAAACAATTAATCAAACTCCCAAAAATCCTCCAAAACTTAAAAACAAAAAGCATGGCAAACACCAATCATCAGAACCAGATGATGATCCTGAATCAAAGAAATATGATGATGAAAACCCTAATTCAACACCAAGAAAAAGAAGGAAAACCCCGAGAAGAAAAAGATACCAACAATCAACTTTTTCATCCAATGATCCTTCCGTTCGCGTGGCAATGTACGTCGCCATGGCCCATGCAGGCCTTGTTTTAACCCTAACTCTCCTCTTTGGCCTCGCCAAGCTCCTTCAAAACTACTGGCGTCCCATCCAATGGGCAATCCTTTGTTCCATGCCCCTACGTGAGCTTCAAACCCTAATTGTTTCCTTCTGGTCACACCCTCTTAGCCTTGGCCTTTTCGAAACCCTAATCGCCATCCCCATCGCCATCCTACGTGCCACCACCGCCTCCCTCCTCGACTCGCACGCCGCCTTCCTCCGCCTTCTCAGCTGCCGCTCCTCCTCATCTCCTCCTCCACCACCACCATCCGGTCGTGGTTGTCATAAGACACGTGTTGGTTTCTCCAAGCTTATGCAATGGCTTGTCACTTTTGGCCTTTTTGTTATTGTTTATGAGAGAATAGGGTTTTTCTCTATCCCCGCTGTTACAGTTCCTTGCTTTATAGCCTATATAACTGGTTTTGGAGTTGGAATTAAGCCTGGCATTGCATCAACTCTCTCAAGAATTTCATCGGCTCGAAAAAACAGGAAAAATTTTCATAACAATAGAAGCCTATCAAATTTTTGCAAGTTAGATCAATATATAACTTCAATGTTGTTTAATAGATTGAATACAATGGTTGGGATTGGACTTATTTTGTTTATGATTGTAGGGTCTATATTAGGATTTATTTTCTTCTCCTATAAAATTGCAATTGAAGGGAAAGAAGCAGTTATTTCTTTGAAGATTCATTTGGAAGAGAATAATTATGGTAAGATAATTGGGATTAACAAATGGATGGATGAGAATCAAATCCCTGAATTGATTGATAGCTATATGTCAAAATTTTATGAAACTTTGTCACAAAATGTTGATTCTTGGGCTGTTCATTACAATCTGACAGAGGTTGTTGATGGTTTTAAGCAGTATTTTGTGCAAAACTCGGTACTTTCAAACCTTCCTGATGAAAAAGTCTACTTCAGAAGGCCTTTGTATGAGACCCTTTATAGCATGCAATCGAAGGTAAGAAATAGAGAATGGAAAGTGATTTATAGTGACATCAATGGTGCGTGCAGGAAATTCATGTCCTTGATAGGTAATGAGGATTTGTTGGAGAAGATTAAAGCATTTCTGCTTCAGAGTTTGGATGTCTCGAAAAGGGTACTTTTTAGTTGTTCAATGGTGTTAGCTAGTGGTGTAAATCTATTGTTCTTTGTGGCCATACTGATTGTTTCTGGAGCAGCTGGATTGGTGAATTTTATATTTGAATTGATGGTGTTTTTGTGGCTTTTGTATTATCTGATCACTTCAGATTCCGGAGGAGTTATGGATCATGTTTTAGGGATGTTACCTGTTTCAAGATCCACCAGGAATAGATGTGCCCAAGTTCTTGATCATGCTGTTAGCAGTGTATTGCTAGCTACTGCCAAGCTCACATTGTTCCAGGGTTGTTTCACATACCTTTTATTCAGATTCTACCGGATCCATTTTCTTTACATGTCTACATTTCTAGCTCTTTTGAGCGCTCTTTTACCTATAACTCCAGCTTGGATTTCATCGATACCGGCAGCAGTCGAGCTAGCCATGGAATCAAGATACCTTGAAGCTATTCTACTGACAGCAGTTCATCTGATACTATTGGATTATGGAACCATGGCTATCCGAGATGAGATTCCAGGACATAATGCTTACTTGACAGGTCTTAGCATATTTGGTGGCATTGCATTTTTTCCCCTCTATATTGGAAGTAATACCTCTTTCTTCATATGCTGTGTTTCAATAATCTATCGTGATTTCTGGGGTCTTTATAAGTATTTTTATCATCTTTTCACCATCTTTATGAACCATAATTTGGTGGTTGTATGTCAATTACAGGGAGCAATTATGGGTCCTCTAGTGATGACAGTGATCATTGCTCTGAAGAATCTTTATGTCGAATTTGTTCTTGCTTTTGCTGCTGAAAACAGTCACTAACCAAACTTGTGGGCGAGAGGTTTGACAATTGATTTGTATTCAGTCCGTAATCTTTGCAAGACTGTATATATTTAATCTCTATAAACGAACCCTTTATCTGGTTTGTAAACACATACAAGTTTTCAATTTTCCATTGAATGAATTTGCCAATTTACCCTTCGTTTCTTGTACATGTAAATACTTTGTTCATCTAGCCTTGATATTAAAAGCATTTTTGAACCCAAGGTTTAGTTCAATTTGTTCATGCAATCTCTTTTAAAAACCGGCATCCAGTAGATCAGGAGTTTAAGTCCTAGCAACTGCAATCCATTCCCCTATCCCTAGGCTATAGTCTCCATTATAAAAAAAAATGGCATTTCTAGCAGAGATAATTAGCAAATGAGATCAACTAGCTTGTCAAGTGATTTTCCGATCTCATTTCTTTGTCAGATTTCAAAGAACACACCAGGTTCTGAATTGCTACTTATATTCGGCTACATTCCTATAAAAAGGGAGAAAAATGAATATGGTTTTAACCTTCATTTATGAATGCTTGAATAACGATCCCCTGTTTTCTTCAGTAATATTTGGCTTAGATCACATTGGATTATTCAATTCTATATTTGCGTTTGTTTCCTAGCTTGGATTTTCTTCTCACAAGCGACGCAATTAATGTAAACCAGATAATGTCCAAAAACTTTGCTAACTATGAAAAGGGTTCGGAGTTCAGGGAAATTTTTGAGCTTTTCGAAGAAGGAATAGTCACTTTAGACTCGGATTGAAGGAAAATGCAAAGAAAGATAATGCAGGCAGGCATTGTTGAGAAACAACAAGTTTCTCACTGTTGAATTTCCAGCTATTCCTACCAAATAGGTCTTTGCTGATACATATGAGGCTCTGCCGTACAGGCATTTCCTGCCGGAAAATTGTGGAAGCTACAAAATTGGCTTCAAATTGGGGAGGAGGAAAAGTTGATTGAAGGCAAAAAGATCATTGATGAGTTTGTTTACAATTGAATCTCATCAAGGAGAGAAAAATTCAGGAGAAACAAGGCAGAGGTGAAGGAAGAAGAAGAAGAAGAAGAATTTGATTAATTGACATCTCTCCCGGTTGAAGACCAAGGAGAATGAGGAGGCTTTGAGCAATCAGACAAGTTGGTCAGAGACACTGCTGTCAATTTCATGTTGGCAGGGATTGACATTGCTGTAAGTGGTGGTCCTTCCTAACAAATTAAGTAATTGCAAATGAGCAAATATAACAGTGTAAATAAAATATTAAATTTTTAGTTTCAATAATTATAACTTAAATCTTGACAGAAATAAAAAACCCCAACAAATTTTGAATTTAAATTTCAAATTAAACAGCTCCACCTATAAAATATGGTGTGCCATTTCTCTGTCAAGAGTATGATAGAAATTGCTTGTAGATACTAAAACCAAGTGAGAATATATTTTTCAGAAATTTGTTGGAAGTCAAACTAAATAGATCATCATCTTTAATGGCCTTTTGCACAAGATATAGAATTGCTCAGCTCCTTTGTACCAAATACGATTTCTTAGCTAGGATTCATGGCGCTAGAAAATGATCAAGTACTTGGTTAAAAAAAAAAGAAGAAAAATATCAAGTATTTACTCTCAAAATATTTTTGTAAACTCTTTCCATAATAAGTATATATTAAATCAGCTTTTAAAATTGATTTCATATTATTGAGAATAACAGATCTATGCCTTATTTTTATTTGTTTACAATTCAAAACTTTCAAAATGAAATCTTAAAGTACTATTAAGTGTTGATCGGATGTTCTTTGCAAAACTTAGTCCAAAAGATAATTAAAAGATTAGTAAACATGATTCTCAAATATATGTATTACATTCATAAATCAAAACACCAAGAAAACAACGAGTGATATATGATAAAGTTACTTATATCATAATCACCATTAATAATCAAACTATATATGCTTATTCTAGTTCAATATTACTAACTCATAGAACTTGAGCTTAACTCAATTTATTTATGGAGTTCTTTAAGATGTGGCATCTAGCATGTCTAATCTTCAAGTAATTGCAACCCCTTATCTACACACACCACACACACACATATATATATATATATATATATATCAGTCAAGCACTCCTTTTCTTGATCCTAACCTTTAAACCATTCCTCATCTGAAGTACTACGGCATTGCTAGGGGAAACAGGATGGCCTTGCACCACCTCAATTTGATAATTCCTTAGTATAGAGATAGCAACCAACTTCATCTGAATGAAGCTTCTGTTCTTACCTATAACACTTCTTGGCCCTGGCTAAATGCTATAATTTGTGAGATGGAACATGTACAATATCCCTTTCCTCTGAAACTTCCACCTCTCTGGTTTGAATTCCAAATAGTCTTGCACCCCATATTTCTTTCATTCTCCCCATTGAGTAGGAATTTATCAAGATCCTTGTGTTCTGATGAATCTGGTGACCGCTTGGAAGGATGTCAGGTCGAATGGCAGTTTTGTGATTGAAAGGGACTGGTGGATAAAGTCTTAATGTTTCAGATAAACTGCATCAAGGTAAATGAATTTATTCAGCTTTCCCCACTGAAAAAAATCATCGAATTGGTCATCTTATCATTGCTTGTTGGATTAGAATTTGCTCTTATCTCTTGTAGAATCTTGTTTTCTACGGATGGGTTCATTCCAAGAAGCCAGAAAAACCAAGACAAGCTTGAACTTATTGTGTCTTTCCCTGCTGCCATGACATTTATTGCAACGTCTCTTAGAAACTTGTCAGATTTCCAATCAGCACCACTCATTTCCCCTTCTTCTTCGACCATAAAAGCTGTAACGAAGTCAAATTGATCTTCCTTCAAATGTAGTTTGCATCTTAATTCTTCTTTCTTTGATGAAATGCACTGGTATACAAATTCATCAATGGCTTTCAAAGCTGTGCTCATCTTTTTCTCCTCCCCAATTTGAAGCTATCTTTGCAACTTCCAAAGGTTTACAGGCATATAATGCCTGTATAACAAACCTTCCTCCGCTTGACTAAAAGCAGATTTACTTGGAACTTCAGGTAGTTCAATTGAAAGAGAATTTGGATCAAAGCCTACAGCTAAAATGCAAGCAATGTCATAGCTGAACCGTTGCAGTATATCTTGAAAATCCACCTCAGTGCCAAGTTCCATGAAAAACTCGAGGACTTTGATTAGACTTATCTCTAGTTTTTGACACAAGATTTTGTGTAAAAACAACACAAATTTGTTGTTTTTCATCACCAACAACATTAGCTTTCGTTGGCTTTTCCATGAATGAGAGTTTGAGTTGAATATTCCTTCACCCAAACAATCGAAAAATATATCTTTGAACTCAGACCCCTTAACGTAGTTATCAAAGTTTTTGCACAAGATGTGGTTGACATTGTTATGATCAGCAGTGATAACGAAGTCCAAGGTTGGAAACCAAGGTCCCTTCACCTCGAAAGTGGCCCCACTTTGTTTGATAATGTCGACGCTGAACTCCAAAACCCTGCTTGCATTGGAAAGAATCCCTGGTAACATTCCAACAATAGGCCAATTTGTGATTGGTGGGGAGTTTCTGTTTTGAAAGCGATGCAAAAGAAAAAGAGGAAAGAAAATTGCAATAAGTAGAAGTATCATTAGGTACTCGAATTCTGCCATTGGAATTAAGATAGGAACTTCTTTTCTCTTTTGAGCTTATGCTTAGATTTTGTTTTTTAGGCTCTTTTTATAGAGTCTGGTTTGGTTGACAAGTGTCGTAATTAGAAAAATATCACATAATAATATAAAACACATACAGATATTTATGATATATAATATCAACAATTAGTTAAAAAAGTTGCACGTGTTATACACAAGAATATACAAGTCGACAGACCGAAAAGATAGTTCAATTTAATGTCATTGTACTTTTAATACCAAACTTTTGGGTAGATAAGAAATAAATATCATGAAAAATTAGATATGATAATTTATGTGTTTAGATATGATACTATGCTTTTAATACTACATTTTTAGTTAGATAATAAATAAATATGATAAAGAATTTTATATGATAATTTATGTATATATGCCTATTTATTTTGTGTTTAACATAAATAAAATATAAAAATTATCATATCATAATTCGTTTAATATATCAAACATATATATATATATTTGTTTTTATCAAACTCATATATTATTTTTTTTCTCTTTTGAGCTTATGAGTTTTTTTCTTTTTTAGGTTTTTTTTAGAGAGCCTATTTGGTTGATAAGTGTCATAATTACAAAAAATATCACATAAGAATAGTTTTAAGTGGAAAGATAGCTAAGCATTGTTATAACGTATAAATTCGTAAACTTATAATTAGATATAGATTTTTAAGAGTCACCATCAATCTTTTTTATACAGGTGTGATTGGTTACCTAAATAAATCTATATTCTTAAAAATGTTCTAAACTTGACTAAAAATCCTTAAAAGAATATGTTCTAATATGCATTTTAGAATAGAATTCAGAAATTCAATTATGTATGAGAAATGTTATAATACCCTCACATGTCCATCATAAAATAGTATCATTTAATTTTAAATTATCCTAATAATCATCTAGGTTATGATGATCTTTTATTAAAATTTAAAGTTTAAATATTGAAAATAACTTCTAAGATTTCTTTATTAATCTAACAAACTTCTTAAAAATACTTTCTTAGCTTAAAAGGATTCAAAAATCTCATTTATTTTCTTGAAGAGGCTCTATCGTCAGAAAAACTTAATCACTTACTTTTTTTGTTAAATTTTCTTTATTAAAAATATATCTAATTTTTCCCCATTAGGGTTTAATTAGAAATATTTTTTCACTTAAAAATGTCTTAATTAATCATCCATTGTAATTACTAAGAATTTCATTATCAAGATTTATTTTTTATTTTATAAATTTTATTTTTAAATATTTCATCATTTGTGTGTATTTAGAAATACCTTATAAGTTTCATTTCTAATTTCTCTACCATTTGGGTTAAATTTAAAGCTTAAGTTCTTATTATTTATCATTTGTTTCTTAATCCTTAGAAAGAAAATAATATAACAATTATTTTTGAAATCTTCTCTAAATTCTTCCACCATTTGAGTTGAATTTTAAAAAAATCTTTCACCAAAAAATCTCTTAGAAGTTTCATCATTTGTGATTTTACTTGAGATTTTATCATTGGATAATTATCAAAATTTTCACAAAAATTTTTAAATTTTAAATTTTTATTTAAAAAATATAATTATTTTTATTAAAATTTTATCTAAATTATTTCATCACCGATAATAGCTACGCTAAACTCCAAAACCCTGTTGCATTGGAGAGAATCCCTGGTGAGTTTCTGTTTTGAAAGCGATGCAAAAGAAAAAGAGGAAAGAAAATTGCAATAAGTAGAAGTATTATTGTGGACTCAAATTCTGCCATTAGAATTGAGATAGGAACTTCTTTTCTGTTTTGAGCTTATGCTTTGCCTCTTTTTATATGCTTTTTTTATAGACTTGGTTTGGTTGACAAGTGTCAGTAACTACAAAAATATCATGTAATAATCCTATACACAAAAATAATAATGCAAAACACAGATAGATATTTATGATATATAACGAGCTTTAGTGCTTGCAATTTGCAATAAAAATATAGCGTTAAATTAATATATTGGTGGTTGAAGTTATACTACTACAAATTGCATTGTTCTTATTATAAGGAAAGAGCATGATCGGATAAGAAATAGCATGAATTTAAATTTGATAATTTATATATTTATGTTATATAAAATATTAATAATTAATATATTTTTATAATATTTTATATAAAAATTATATTCGAAATAAAAATATAAAATATAATTTTTATTAAAATTTAAAATTATATCACATTGATATCTTTTATTCATATATTTTGTATCATATTCTCAATTATTAAATCAATATATCATACTATTATTTTTTTTGTTTGAAATTTTTCGATGTCCAATAATTATTTTGAATTCTTATTAATTTAAAATCAAGTTGGATCAGATCTCATAAGAAGAATAAATTATTTTAAATTTATTTTTTTTATTTACAAGACTTGAAACTGAAATTTTACTTTAAGAATTAAAATTTTTTATCTTTCAAACTAATATTTTACTTTAAAAATTAAAATTTTTTATCTTTCAAACTAATATATGTTGATATTATATTATTAATTTAATTAAATATAAAAGGAATATATACCTGAACATGTTCAAATTCAAATTAAATCACAATATAGATGTGATGCAGAAAATATGCAGCCATGACGGTTACGCTCTGACTTTGACGGTGGTAACTGGTCGGTAGAAGAAATAATTACCAGTTTTTTTTTCTTTTTTACTATATATTATTTGTCAAAGTAATTAATATGGGCTACCTGCTTCCAAACCCAACATATAACACACGACGACTGTGGCCCGCTCCGCTGTGATTGTTTGAGATCAGTAAAATTTCAGGTAGTGTATTAGGGGAATGCTAGGGTCAGTCTCCCAAACATGTGTTTCAACATTCGACGTTTGATAAAAGTCACGTCATGTGTAATTTTTTTTTAATTTGAAATTGATAAATTATTCAATTTTTAACATAATTCTATTTCAATCTATAATTTTCTCAAAAGAATCACATATCAACTTTATAAATATGTTAACCTTATAAATTTTTTATTTAACACCTTCACATATTGATTTGACTTTTTAATTTGTAAATTAAAGTTTTATAATTATCAATAAAACATTCAAATCAATAAATATTTAATTTCAATAATTATCGATTTTTTCACCCTATTATCACAATTAATTCATGAAAAAGTGAAAATTTTAATTCATTAAACCTAAAGATGATGAAATCTCTTTCTCTTTCTTATTTAACCATTTTCTTGTTAATCTATTTAATTTTATTGATTTTCTAAAAGTTTTTATAAGAAAATCTTTAAAAAATTATCTATTTTTAATTTTTTAGTTTTCATCCAGATTTTGATTTTCTAAAAAAAAATTTATCGATTTGTAAATATTTTTTATCATTTTATTTAAATTCTTAAGATTCATTAATAAATATACTCATTATTTTTTTTTTTTTTGCATAATCCATTAGTTAAAAGACCAAGCTTACAAATTCGAAGATATTGAAAAAATCTGATATATGAAGTTGTTGATTTATGCTGCAAATTTCTTAACCTTTATTTATTTATTTTTTGTTCATGATAGATCTTCACATTTATTTTTAAAAAGCTTAATATTTCATAAGTTAATAAAACAAGTTTGTATAAATATGTTTTAGTATTTTTAATTGTTATTATTATTAAACCGCAATAATACGCATGACACTACCAAGTTTTAGATAAGATAAAATATTATCTAAAGAATAATAATTGTAGGTTATGCATTTAAAATAATTATAATAAAAAATCATTAATTAAATTCAAACTCAAAATCATTTACATAAAAAAAATGATCTTATCAATTGAATTAATCTTTTATCGATGATCATGCAACTTTTATAATTAAAAACTAATTACTTGCTAAGGTAATCAATTATCAAGTAATTCATTTTTTTTTGTTATAATATTTAATTTGGAGTTTGTGAAGATTAAAATACTCTTATTTATATTAAAAAAAAAACCTTTAGGAAATTTTTACTTGTGAATTATGATGGAAATGCTAAATTTACAAAAACACTCCTTAAAAAAGATGACACACGAAATTAAAATAATATAAATATATTATATTTATATTTATATTTATATTTATGTACCACAAAATTATAAATTATATATACAAAAGAAATATTATAATTTGGCGTATTGCGAGAGATTGAAAATTAATGTTTCTGATTTCTTTGATTCATGCATTAATTGAAGCATGAAACTCCAGTTTCATATTAAAAAGAGAAAAGTATTAATTAATAAAAAAATAATTTGCACAAAAAATAAGGAAAATGTAACCCAAAAAAAAAAAAAAGACAGTTTTCGTAGCTTACATGGACACTAACACGTCTTTTCAGATAAAATCAAACCCAAAAACCAGTTGCAGGATCCTCACAGCTTAAATTTCATGAAACTCATAAAACTAAATATTTATAAAGATGCTTTCAATCTCATATTAAAATAATATAATATATATAAATTTATATTTATATTTATAAAATATTTTTTATAAAAATATATATATATAATTTTTTCATATTAAGAAGAGACTTGTTTCGTTTTTTTTAATTGGTTTTTTGTGCAAATTATTATTTAACTATTATTTAATGATTTTTTTTGTTTTATATTTTTATTTTTTATTAAATATATTTTTGTGATAATAAAAAGTTAATTTAAATATTCAAGTATTATATTATTTGATTTTTTACTTTTTATTTTTTTATTAGATAAATTTTATAAAAAAATCTATAAATAAAATTGATAAAACAAAAAATTTTTAGCCCGAAATTTGCTAGGTTTCTTACTAAACTAACTCCTTTGGATATCATCTTTAATGGGCCTTTAGCTGTGAAATTTCGGCTTCAACAACCGACCAAAATCATAACCAGGCTGAGCCTAGCATTAAACGCAAACCCTGTGTTCAAGAATGGCCCAAAACAGCCCAATTTTTCTACAAAATCCTTTTTACATGACTAACGGAGCAAAGGGTCTCTGGAAGTCGAAAGGAAACCATACACCATGGAAGGACAAAGCAGAAAGAGGAAGAGGGCAAGACACAACAATCCTCAAAAAATCGAACAACTTTTGCAACCAAAGCACTCAATACAACATAAGAAAAAAACCCATCAGCTGCAAAGCCACGCCAATCAGTCTTCTGCTGTTTCAAAGCCACCCAAGTCTTCTTCTTCTTCCAATTCCTCAAGTTTTCTTGACAAGGTTACTTTCTATTATATATAAATGCATGTAAATTTGGATTCTTTTTTATGGGTTTATTTTGAATATGCAGATGAGAGCAAGGTTGGCCGGTGGACATTTTAGGATGATCAATGAAAAGCTTTACACTTGCACGTATTTTCTCTCTCTTTTTCCTTCTCTTTTGTTTGAACTTTAGGTGCTTATTGGTTTTGCTAAAGGGGAAAGGAGAGAAAGAGAGAAAGTTTATTTCTTGGTTTTAATTTTGTGTTAGTTAATTTTTTTGTTGAAATTGTAGCTTGGTAACTTGATAGTGCAAAGTTAGCTTCTTTTTTTCTTTTGTTTTCATAGAGGTAAAGAAGCACTGGACTATTTCAAACAAGACCCAGAATTGTTTGATATGGTAAGCTTTAAAGTTATAACTTTTCTTCAATCTAGCTTCTGTCTAATTTTCAATGCATTCCCTGAGTTTACCTGTATTTTATTGTTTTCTTGTGATAAAAATTTGCATCAAAGTTGAATCCTTAGCTTCCAAATTGTGATACGGTCAAGTAGGATGTTTACATTAAACTCTCATGTAACTGTGTTAATGTCTCTAAATTGCCTTCTTTTTCCTTTAGTTGCCATTTGGTGTTCAAGAATGATAGATCTAACCAATGTTCTGAAGTGGGATTATTTAAGTGGTTTAGTGTTATATCGAAGTTGCATTTGGACTTATTCATTTCACTCACCTGGCCAGTACCATACAGGATATCAGGAGCAAATGTTGCATTGGCCTGAGCAGCCAGTCAATATAATCATAAAATGGCTGAAGGATCGTAGTTCTTCTTTAATTGTAGCTGATTTTGGCTGTGGTGAGAATTTGCTTAACTGGATTTGCCATTTTGTATTGCAATGATAATTTGTTGAACTCATATTCATGATAAATGTTTAACAAGATCTGATATACCTGTTTTTGGCTGCTCTGTCATTATCATCATGCTAAATTGTGTTTCAGGTGATGCACGCCTTGCAAAAAATGTGAAGAATAAAGTTTTCTCTTTTGATCTTGTCTCAAACAATCCTTCGGTAATTGCTTGTGATATGTCAAATGTATGTCCCGTCTTCATCCCCTTTATGCACTTGTTACATCACAGTTATTGATCGAATCCCATATGTCATCACTGAGTACAATTACATAATTTGATCCATCTATAAGTATACTGCATTACTACTATTGGTTACAAAGCATTTGTATGAAAACTATTACTAGACCTGACAATTTAAAATATGACACAAAAAAGACATGAAAGTAACACACTTTAAAGTAAATGAATTGTTAATATTTTACACGATATGGATATACAAATTGCCAGGTCTAGCTATTACTTGCTACTATCAGTTGCCAAATTTTAAACTGGTGCAGTAGGATGGTGTTTACTAGCATATGCTGACTTTAATTACCTTTTAGAAAGAAAGAAAGAATAACTAGCCAATGGTACAGTTTTTTGGTTTCATTTTCTACAATGGTTGCTCACTGATATATGGATCAGAGAAAAAGATTTCAAAATCTCTGCCTCTCTCTACATGTCTGCATGTGCCCAAATGTATGAGTTCACAGGATGTTGGATGCTTTCAAAGTAGTAATCAATTGTTTTTGAGTTTTGATGGCAGGTACCACTAGGTCCTTCCTCGGTAGATGTTGCTGTCTTTTGCCTTTCATTGATGGGGACTAACTATGCTAGTTACCTTCAGGAAGCATATAGAGTACTTAAGCCAAGGTTTGCTGAGCGTAAATATTGTTTAACGCTTGCTGTTACCGTTTTCTGATGAGTTTTTGGTTAATAAACCAACTTGTTTTGGTTCTTTATAGTGGTTGGCTTTTGATAGCCGAGGTAAAGAGCAGATTTGATCCAAATAATGGAGGAGCAGACCCAAATAGGTTTTCAAAAGCTGTTTGTGAGATGGGATTCACCTCAGCATTGCAGGTTATAATGTTCTTTTATTTACATTAACGCAACCCGTTATCCTTCGATAACTCCTTATCGTTATGTGCAGGACTTCTCAAACAAGATGTTTGTTTTATTATACTTCAAGAAAAAGGTACGTATCGTTTGTGGAGAAGATTAGGCTCTTCTGTTAAACTAAATCTAAATGACATTCATGGCAAGAAATGTGTAGTTTCATTCTCCATTGCTCCATAATATCCATTTATATTTTCCTTTGCAGGAGAAGCAAAGCTCGAAAAGGAGGGACATTGAATGGCCTGAGCTGAAGCCTTGTTTTTACAAGCGTCGCTGAGATTCAAATGCACATTGTTTGGTACGATAAATCAAGCTTGTAGTCAATCCTAAATCGACATAATATAAGATTTGGCCACATTTCAGTAATCGTTCTCAAAATAGTGGCTAAATTTTATGATTGTGAAACGTCTTTTTCTTTTGAATTGTGGTTAATGTCCTTCTATTTCAATATTGTTAAGCACTTTTATTTTCGTGAAACATGTGAGAAGAAATGGAAGGTGCAAGAAGTTATCCTATCTGCCTGCCCTACTTATCTTTTATATCTAGGATTAGTTATTCGTATATTCATGTCATATAAAATATCATGTATTTGAATTGTATTTGAAACAAAAATTATGTGTTACAATTTATGTCGATATAAAAGTATTAAATATATATTTTTTATTTTGTTAAATTCATATATAATTATTATTAAAATTTTAAATTGTTATTTTTATATATTTTTTATATTATATTCGTATTATATCACGGTATCATGTTTTAGATTGTAAAGTCTATTTATATTCATTAGCTGCAAATAGTTTCATAAAACAATGTTTTAAGAAGGAAATTGTTTTATATATGGATTTTAAGATTTAATTTAATTAATTTATATAATTATTTTTAAAATACAGTATATAGTAAATTCGATATCAAATTTTACAATTTATAAATTTTTTTCTTATCTCGATTTTTCTTATATAAAAAGTTATTTTATATAAGTCTCCTCTTACATGATATGTGAAAAGAAATAAAATTTGGATTTTTTTTTTTTTGCGTCCAAAACAAAATTGAGGTCAAACTAAATTAAATGATGTAATACTAACTAATAAGTTGCCCCATTTGCTAAAGGGTATATAAATACAAAGATGAATTAATCTCTAAATTTTGAAGTGAAAACTGAATGGCTAGGAATTCACCCACTTCATACTACCTTTTCACATGTCTTGTATCGTAAGTGTCCAACAAATTCACAAGCAAACCTAGGTTTGTGACTTTTCTTCACCCTCTTCATTGATTTACTTTATTTTGTTTTATTTTATTTATTTTTGCATTTTGCACATTCCAAAATTGATTTGGACCCACTTTAAATAATTCATGGTGGGCTCCATCAACCCATTTTTTTAGCCCACCGACAAGGTTTTTTATAGCCCTTTTGTGGGGAAAACAAAATAAAAAACAAAAATAGTTTGACCTAGTAAAATATATGGCTCCCGTTTCTTTCTTTTTTTTTTTTTATTGTTATTTTAGAAAAAATAGTAACAATTTTATAATTTTATTTACCCAAAAATGATTTGGTAGATCACATGACATATTAAATATCATGATAATATATGTTGTTATAAACTAAAAATTAGATAAAAAATTTATTTAAATTTTAATTATTAAATTAAAAATTTTAATAATTAGATAATTATTAGATAATTGAGTGAACAATAATATATTTTATCCAAAAAAATATAATAAATCATTGTTAATTAATTTTATTCTAAAATTTATTATCAAATGAAACAATGTTTGATTCAATTAATCTATAAAATTATTTTTAGAAAATGATATCAAATAAATTAAAATTTTAAATTTTAATTTCTTTAACTTTTTTTATTTCAAGCTAAAGCTCTTATATATATATATATATAAATTATTTTCATTTGAAAAAAGTATGAGAATCAAAATGTTCCATCATAAAGGAAAAAAAGTATGTGGATATCAATTAGAATTTACCTTATCAACAAAAACAAAACCAATTTACCATTAAGAATGGGTTACCATCATGTATCAAGTCTTATCTTCCTTTTCAAATGAGATGATTTTTTTTTATTAATTTTTTGACCATTTCAAAAGAGATGATTTAACATAAATATAATGACTGTTTTCTTTTTGTTTGTCTGCTTCTTTAATAACCAAAAAATAAAAGAATAAAAAACCAAATTCACTAGTTTCTTATTCATTTTGTAGATGCTAAATGTTGATTTATTTTGATTTTCCATTATTAATAATATAAAATTTCATTAGAAATTTAAAATTATTTATTTTATCAATATGAAACAAAATCTAATTATCATATTTATTTTCAAATTTTACATAAATTTAATCTATTTTAAAATAATTAAAAAAAATTATCACATCAATAATTTAATTATAATTTTATAATAATTAAAATATTTAAAAAAACTTAAATGATTTTATTTTTCTAAAATAAATTTTTATCTTTTAATTTGTATTTAAATAAAATTTTATTTTAAATAAAAATGATTTATATTAAAATTTTATTTAAATACAAATTAAAAATAAAATATTATTCATATACAAATTTAAAAATAAAAATTTATTTAAATATAAATTAAATTTTAAATATAATAAAAATATAAAAATTTATCTAAATAAAATTATAAAATTAAATGACTTTGTTTGTTATTTTTACATTTGTAATCATGTTAGATTTGAATTAACATTTTACGACCCAAAAAGTAATCAAATTATTGTACATGAACTCAATTCTAATCTTTTAATGAGTATAAAACTAATCTCCTACTATAAAATACAAAATTCTTTTTCATTCTTAAAAAAAAAACATGACAAGTTGTTGCTCTGACAAAGACTCGCCAAGGAAACACACAAGAAAGCCAAAAAAAAAAAAAGGGGTTTGGTTTCACTTCCATAGTTGCATTATAATAAACACACTCTCTCTCTCTCAATAGCCAGTAACAACTTCCCATCCACCATTTCACTATCTAATCTCTTCCCAATCCTCCCATTAATTCTTCCTTCCTTTTCCTTCCCCTTTATATAATTCAACTGTTTCTTTTTCTTTGCTTATTGAGCTCACTTTCCCATTAAAAAACTTATCTTTCTTTTATTTGTGGTCCTTTGATTTTGTTGTGTTAGTGCTTGCTTCTTTGCTGAAGGGCCTTGTCTATTCTTCTGTTATCTCTCTGTGTTTATGTTTTTTTTTTTATTATTAGTATAATTTTTTATTAAATTTTTGTTGGTGGGGTGTCTGCAGAAAACATGTGGGCTTTATTCTTTGCCTCCCATTAAAGGCAGTTCTTGATGGTTTTTTGGATCTGCAATCCATGATTTTTGGGATGGGTTTATTGTTTTAAAACTGGAAAAAAAAAAGTAAAAATCCAGACTTTGGGTACTTCAATGTAGGCAAAGGCATGTCCTTTGTAACTTCCTTTTTTTTTTTCCAGCTATAAAAAGTTTGGTTTTTTTAGCTTTTTCTGTTTACGTCAAATGTGGGATTTTCAAAAGGGCTTCTTTTTGTTTGGTCAATAGATGGTAGTTGTTCAATTTTTGTTTCGAAAAGTGTAGTTTCAAAAGATGGGATCTGGAAATGGATTTTTTTCAACTCAAGAGTTCAGTTTAGATGCTAAGTGGTTGATTGATCCTCAGCAGCTTTTTGTTGGTCCTAAGATTGGAGAAGGTGCTCATGCTAAAGTATATGAGGGAAAGTAAGTCAATTTTCTTTGGATTCTAATTAATATGAGGGGAGGCTTGGTCTAGCTTTGTTGGCATTTCAGTTTGACCCTGATCAATTGAGAAGAACAAAAAGCTTAGGTTTTTAAATGAATCCTGTCTCTTTTAAATTATTTTGGTGGAAATTTTATTGATAATTTGAGTAGATGTATGATATTTTATAGCCTGGATAAATTTGATTATTTGTGCTTGTTATTATGTAACAGTTATCTCATGTATTTTAATCCATTGGATGCATTTAGATACAAGAATCAAAATGTTGCTATTAAAGTTGTTCGAAGAGGGGAAACCCCTGAACAGATTGCAAGGAGAGAAGGAAGGTTTGCAAGGGAAGTTGCTATGTTATCCAAAGTTCAACACAAAAATCTAGTGAAGGTTGTTGATTCATTATATATGCCATTAATTTCTTGTTGCTGAATTTATGTGCTTTCTGGCTATGGTTGATATTGTCAATTAATATCCACAAATCATTAAGTTTAGGTTATATTAAATGGAAATAGGCTTATGTCTTAGCTGAACTTTTATTTGTTTCCAGTTTATTGGAGCTTGCAAGGAGCCAGTCATGGTGATAGTAACTGAGCTCCTACTAGGTGGGACACTGCGTAAATACCTTCTGAATATGCGGCCAAAGTGCTTGGACATGCATGTAGCAATTGGGTTTGCACTTGACATTGCTCGTGCAATGGAATGCTTACACTCCCATGGGATCATTCATCGGGACCTGAAACCTGGTATGACTATAACCTTTCTAGGTGTGCTTACAAGAATGAGTGACATTCTGTGAAAAGTTTGGCAGCTTCTATGTATAATTGCATTTTGTCTTTGTATATTTGTAAGATTTGGAGTTTCTACCTTTATGGCTTTTGTTTCCTTAGTATTCCTCAAATCTGACTCATGGAAAGGAAAAAGGAATCCATGATAACCAATAGCATGCCGCAAGATATTATCTCTTTGTTTTCTGTTTGTTTGAAGGCTGGCAAGCTTGTTATCCAACATAATGAGTTTACCATTGATAAACCATAACTCTGTGTTCCATATTTGTTAACTGCAAGTGAAGGTGTGCTCCTGGAGCATCTGATAATTATTCAAACTTTCTGCATAATGATGGACAATTTGATGGTCATTAGTCTACTTAGCTTCCAATGAAATAGAAAGAAAAAGGGTTTTTCTTTGAGAACTGTTTGACTTGAACATCAAGTCACGGACCAAAAATCTATTGAGAAGCTTGTAGCTGCAAAGGTGAGATGAAGATCCAGAACTATTGGTGTGCTGATTATTTGACATATGATATCGCCATATCGGTAGACAGCAGAACCTTCAGGGTATGGCAGTTGCAGTTTTACATGGTCCAGTTATAATTGCTTGTTAACATCCTAGTTATTTCCGCTAATGCTTTCATTGGGCCGTTTCTCTTGACTTTTAAAGCATTTACTTAAGGAATCCTTGCATACTTGGATGAATAAATAGCCTAGGTTAAACTGATAGTGACATAAATATGTTCATAATGTTTAATTGTCTTTTATTCTGCTACTTCACAGATCCATGGTTTCGTACTGGATAGCAAGTCTTGGAGTAACTAAGTCTGACTGAACAGAATCCATTTTGTAATGATTTCTTACCTGAGGAATATTACATTTTGTTAAATTGACTTTGACAAATATGATTACTGTGAATGACTAAATTATACTTTATTGGCAGCATTATTGTTTTCTTTTGTTCTTTTTAAATGTTCGTTTATGGTATTGGTTTTAGATGAGAGACCTTGAAGTGGGTATTAGAGGGATTTAAGTGTTCTTCATGATTCCAATAGCTGGAAGTAAACGAAAACGATAACTGTCTTTAAGTGAACTTTATGCAATAAATTCTTTCCTTTTGCAGAGAACTTGATCTTGACTGAAGACCATAAAACAGTTAAACTAGCAGATCTTGGTTTAGCTAGAGAAGAGTCATTAACAGAAATGATGACTGCTGAAACAGGGACATACCGTTGGATGGCTCCAGAGGTAATTTACTGAATTATTTAGAACCTAAAGTTGATTTTTTTTTTCTCCTATAAATTTTTGGCTTTTTATGTTTGAGATGCTGACCCTTTTGCTAACAGCTTTATAGCACAGTCACATTAAGGCATGGAGAGAAAAAGCATTACAATCATAAGGTGGATGCCTACAGCTTTGCTATTGTGCTGTGGGAACTGGTCCATAACAAGTTGCCTTTCGAAGGCATGTCCAATTTACAAGCGGCTTATGCTGCTGCTTTTAAGGTAATGATGTGTAGCCTTGTTTTTTAAAGTAATACTTAAGATGGGATGGTTTCTGGAGTATGTGATTGTCAGCTTGCCTTTGGAAAGCTCAGCCAATGCTCAAATTTTCAAATATCTGCAAACCACCCTCCTGCCATTTTTGTAGGATTCTATATACTGTGAAAGACACTCTTAAGACTAATACATTAGGAATGAGAATTGATCTATGACCGCTGTTGAACCTCCAAGTTATACCTCCTGTTATTCATTTGAATCATGAGGCTATCAACTAAAGTGATTCAAAAGAGTGTCAGAATGCAGGCTCTTCACAATCACAATCCCGTTCCTCAAGAAGTAGCATGCATCTTGACAGTTGACACTTACTAAAAAGTTTATCATATATGATTATGTTTCTTCAAATGCAACTATGATATTCTGATATAGGCATGATGGTCTAAGTTTTGACTCCGTTGTTTCAGAATGTTAGGCCTAGTGCTGAGGATCTTCCAGAAGATTTGGCATCGATTGTGACTTCATGTTGGCAAGAGGATCCAAATGCTCGGCCCAATTTCAGCCAAATCATACAGATGCTATTACACTATCTCTCAACCATTCCACCACCAGATTCTGTGATGCCTCCTAAGAGAACAACTTCTGAGAATGCTGTATTGCCACCAGAGTCGCCTGGTACAAGTTCATTGATGGCTGCAAGAGATGATGTAGGGGAAACCTCAAAAGCCACCGAGGAAAACAGGCCAAGAAGTTTCTTCTTCTGCTTTAGCCAGTGTTACTGATCCCCCAAAGGCACAATTTCGTTTTTGAGGGTGTCACAAATTATTTTTAGGGTAGTTCAATAAACGTAATTAGTCTTAGATATTAGAAAGAACACAATCTTGGTAAGAGAATGTCAAATCTAATCAGATTAGTTTAGTTCAGTTATATGACGGTATCTGTTAACTTTGCTACTGTTTTACATGAATTTTGGTATGCCCTGACTTAAAGATGGATCAAGAACTTTGGGGGTAGGGGTTGCTGTGATGGAAAAATATCAATGTAAATAAGGTGCATCCAAATGCCTTTGCTCCTGTTTTCTAGTCTAAAATTTGCATTAGCGTGCTTATGCAGGACTTTTGAAATTTTGGCATGTGCCTTTGCCCTCTCATTCTGACCGTCTGTTTGATATTTCATGTTATCCTTTCTTTATTAGTTTAGTTTCATGCATAGTTAATAAGTTTTATACGAAAAATGGATTAGTTGGTAAACCTAGCAATTCAAAATATAATATGATGATATAATATAAACACGATATTATAAAGAATACGAAGATGATATGATTTAAAATTTTAACAATAACAATATATGAGTTTTTTTTTTTAAACGATAAAATTTCAGCTCTGGACAATAACCTTTTTGATTAAAGGTGACATCTTTTTTTGGGTTTCCTGGAGAATTCATGGAAAAGATGTGATTTCAGATAAATTTATGGGTTAACATAAAAAAATTGAAAATCCCATTTACAAAGAGAAGAATTTTTATTTTTTTTGGTTTTATATTGTTTTTGGAGAGTTACCTAATTGGTGAACTGAAGGAATGGTATTTTGGGTAATGGGGTTTCATCAAAACTTGCCATAAATGGGATTGGTTTTCCAATTTTTTTATTTTATTTTTCCTGATAAACTCCATTTCTGGTTTTTTCTCTTCTTTTCCCCCGAGTTTGACTGTGTGGAACTTGGAGAGTCATTTAAGTGCTGGAGTTTCTTCTTGCTTTGTGAGCTGCATTTTGAGGATTATAGGATTTTATTGAAATGATCATCCTTTCTGGAACTCTATCACTGCACGCAAAGTTGTTAGAGGAAAATCTTCAAACTTCAGTTAAAAGGAAACCCCATTTACTTAGACAGGAATATTTAATGACTTAAATGAAACTCTCATGATTTATTTCTCTAGAATTCTTCCAATGTCTGCATTGTTTTCGGATTACTTTATTCACAGCATATGGCATCTTTCTGATCGAAGTCTGTGGAGGTTCTTATTTCCATTGATAAACCATTGTTGCAGGAGCTGGCTTATTGATAGTAGGGCAATTGCAAAGAAAGTAAAAAATGCCTCCTGTTCTTCTTCCATTCAAATCACTGGCTGTGGGGCACATCGTCAATGTCCTAACTGCCATCACCGTATTGATAACAGTGATGTAAGTTGGAATTTTAACGTTTCGATAATTTTGCATTAGCAGCATTGATAGCTCTCTTTGAAATTTAACATGGGTATTTGGCATGTGTTTGTATGGTTGCTTGTAGATTTCGTTCACAAATGTGACTGCCCTTGGAGCTGTTTTTTTTTTTTTTTAGGTTTCTCCTCAGTGGCCTGGCCTTCCAACTGGTGTCAAGTTTGATCCATCTGATGCAGAGCTTTTAGAGCATTTAGCAGCTAAATGCGGTGTTGGAAACTCAAAAGCACACCTGTTTATTGATGAGTTTATCCCGACGCTTGAAGAGGATCAGGGAATTTGCTACACTCATTCTGAAAATCTTCCACGTAAGTGTGTTTCGAGAGTCATATTTTGGTTTTCATTGCTATCATATGTAGGATGAACTCAATTTACCAAATGAGATGATTATATGAAGAGTAAGGTCATTATGTTGAAAATAGAATTCCTGATATTATGCATCCCATGTTCTTCAAAGACAGTGAGGGGACACTCCTTGATTTCATTAAGTTCCCGAGGTGATATTCATGTTAATCTTTGGTAATTCAAAGTTTACAGAAATGGAAAATTCAGGTTGCAGCTTGATTTGATTTTAATGTGATGATAGATAGTCGATGCAACCCTATGTTAGTGCACAAATTTGATTCTGATCATTTCAGTTCATCTTGTGCAGGAGCAAAGACGGATGGAAGTAGTATCCACTTCCTTCATCGAACGATTAATGCTTATGCTACTGGTCAGCGAAAGCACCGAAAAATCAAGAATCAATGTAGTGCAAATGAGGAGCATGTTCGCTGGCATAAGACAGGAAAGACCAAACCTGTCATAGAAAGTAGAGTTCAAAAGGGCTGGAAGAAGATCATGGTTCTCTATAAAAGTTCAAAGAGAGGGTGCAGAGCAGGAAAGTCAAATTGGGTGATGCATCAGTACCATCTAGGGACTGAAGAAGAAGAGCATGATGGGGAATATGTGGTTTCTAAAATTTCCTATCAACAGCAGAAACAAACTGATAAGAATGATGACAGCCTAATGATTGAAGAACCAGATGACTTGACAATTTGCGCTAGTCCAAGGACCCCTAAAACTAATCCACTTCGGCCATGTAAATCCATAAAATACCATGATGCAGTCGAAAATATGCACCAGGTACAATAGGTAGTGTCTTTTGTTTATGTATTTTGCCTTGTGAATTAATTCATTTGCCTTCATAGAACTCTTGAGGACATCCAGCTTTTGATCACCATATAAAATCAATGTGAATTTGAAATAGAGACATTGTGTTTCCAAGTGTCTCGGATTCTATAAAATGATCCTGTCATTCTCCACTAGGATGAAATAAATTGTTGACATTTTGAGTCATCTTACAGTATTTACGTGAACCCCAAGAAAAAAAAGAAGCATGATGAAAAATTATACTCATGCATTGCAATGGAGACATGAAATTAATTTCGTTTGCTATTGATAAATTGAAAACAATAAATACTGTCAAACACTGAGTTTCTAGGATTGTTTGCTGCATTTGATCCTAACCGAAGTTCACTTCCATGGATTAGGAATCAGAATTTGCTGCAGAAGGATCTCACCTCCCTCAGCTTGCTGTTCACTGTGAGGATGATTTGGACTATCCAGCATGGTTGGCAGGGGAATCTCAGGCTGCCGTAAATTCTGACTTGAATTGTTTGGGTAATTCTTTGCTATGCAGTGAGCTTATGGATTCATCTTCCCTGCTAAAGAATTCAGTAAAGAATCAAGTCTCATTTACTGGCTGTGCTCATGGATCAGTTGAGATGACAGGGAATACTGATCCGTCCTGTGGAATTTCTGTGCTTGAGAACTTAGAGTTTGACACACCCCCAGATTTACCCTTAGCTGTAAGCTTCAGCTTTCACCCTCCTCCATCAATTTGTCTGCCCTCCAAATGTCATGACATGATTATCAGAAAATCTCAAATTCTAATCTATTTGCTGCAGGATCTACAATTTGGCTCTCAGGAAAGCATTCGTTCATGGTTAGATCGGTTATGAAGAACTAAAGCGAAGCAGAAACTCCCCAAGGACAGAGTCCAAATTTTGAGCACTTCTTAGGGCTAAGATTTGTCTTGCTTCCAGAGGCATAGAGAGTTTGTTCATACAGACTTTTACAAAAGCAGCCTAATCTTTTGCTGCGGTACATGTAAGAAACACAAATATTTGGTCTTGCATTGCAACAAAAACATGTAACTACGACATTATTACCATCTCACTTCTGTCTTTCTAGTTTTTTATCTCAGAGAGGACAGGGGACAGGAACTATATTATCCATCATTGAATTATATTTAATAAAAAATTTAAAATTATATTCATTTTCATCTTCATTTTCAAATTTTAATATCTTCTCCATCTTCATTATAAAAAATCAGATTTTCTATCAAATTTGGATAAAATTAATATCCTAATTATGTCCAACTTGATTATGTCAGAACAATGAAGAACTTCAAAGCCATAATCTATTCTCCAAACTTAATTTCCTTTTTCCGATTTTCTTACATTGGTGCAAAAAGGCTCGTTTTTTTTTTTTTGTTTTTTGCGCCCACAGGATATCTGAATCACAACCACGTATGCCACTTGTCCACTGATGCATGCATCAATCGTAATCAACAAAAATCATGTCATTATTGTCACCATGAATTAATTAGTCTTCCCCCATGGCATTAAAAACATCTTCTCATCAACTTTTGTCTTTTGTCATGGACGTATTCCAAGCAATTTTACTTTCTCAAGTAACCAATGATAAAAAAAAAATAGTTTTGACTTTTTCCTTGCAACCAAGTCAAATGGGAAAGTCTCCTATCCCATTAAATGAAGAATCCGTGTGAAATAAATGGCCTGGACAAGGTTTTGTATTAGGGGCCTCACGCAGCCACGGCGCATGAATTCAAGCAATCTGCGGATTGGTGAAACAGTTGTTTGACTACATTTCATAATCTTGTATTAGTGTTTTGAAATTCACTTTTCGATTTTTTTTTTAACGCATTAGAAGAAGGGAAACTGTTTCTCTGGAGGTTGAGAATATGAAGGAAAAAAATTCCTGTTAGTTCAACTGCCATAGTAATGTAAAAGAATTATAACTCAAATGATTCCAGGAACGGAGTAAGAGTTGGCCTATTCTGAAAAGAGAGCTTTCGTCGTTATGTTAACCTTAATATTGAAAAATTCAAAAAAAAAAAAAAAGAATACAGCAATAGATGAATGATTCAGCATTATGATCAATGGGAGAACCAACAGCAGCAGTCAAATGATACAAATCAATGAGCCCATGTCGTTACTACTTTGTAAGAGGAATATATGAATCAATTAGTCCAAGAAAAACGAAATTCCCATCAAGGAAAAACCTGGGAAATGTCTCTCACAACAAGCTCTAGTACTGGGAAATTGGATCGGCCTCCATAATGGAAGAAACCAAATTCAGATAGAGGACATATATAAAGTTTCCACTCACAGTCAGATCCCATCAAGTTCTACCCAGCTTCAGTACACTTCTATCAGGTCTACACCATAGCCATCAAATGGCCAATGCAGCACTTTCTGGTACAGGGCACAACTTGTAATTGAAGACTTTACAGCACACAATTTTCTTGGCTCAGCCATTTTCTCTTTTGCAGTTACCCGGCAAAAGATACTTGTATTTCTCCGCATTGTTCAACAAATAAGCAGGAAGATGGACAGCTGAATAAGAGCGAGGGATAGGTCCCATCTTCCCAATGATCTCCTTGAACGTGTATTCCTCAGGAAGCATATCAAATAGGTCAGTCCCTCTGCATATTACATCCTGAATCCTCTCAGGGTTCAAGTAGTGAGAGAACCTTACTCGATCATTGTGGCTGTAAGCTTTCATCTTGAATATAAACTCGCTAATATATCGAAAGCAAAAGCTACAATGCCACCCTGCATCTGACAAGACGATATCAGCTTGACGGTAATGAGCATATCTGGTCTTGCCTGCCTTGTACCTGTGGACTGAGGCTCTCCAGCTTTTGTTGTCTATGTGATACTCAAAAGAGTACAAATAGTTTCTCAACTGAAGATGAATAACAGGTGGTATATCATCACACCATCTCAATAGATTAATCGTATGTGCACTAGGGATCTCATCTACATCAGACATTATCAATAAATCATCATCTTCGATACCAGCTATTCTGAGAAGCTGGTCCAATGCAACTCTCTGAAATGCCTCCTCAACAAAAGGGTTTTCACCCTTCCTGAATCTCCCACCAATCATCCCATACGTCAAACGAGGCTCAATAAATTTAAATTGTTGTCTGTTGCTAGCAAAAAGCAATGGTTTTGGTAAGCTAGTAAATGTCGAGTTGGACTCAAGAAGCACAAATTGTGTTATGTAAGAATACAATTCATTCCATCGAAGTGTGAGAATGTCTATCTCATTGCTGAACAGCACAGCATCAAAAACTCGTCTAGGGGACTCTCGAATTTTCCACCCATGAAGATTGCAGAGAGTCTCCATTGTCACATTCTCATGATAATAGTGAGGGATTTCATGGAAAGGCTTAGGAGGTGATTCCCATAGCGGTCTTAGGAAATAAGTGATTTTCTGCCCATGTACATACACCCCAAAGATGAATAGCGGGATAACCACAAAGGGTAAAATACAAGTCCTGATATCGAACCCCCGCAACAAGCACCGCAATCTAGATATGGTAAATGCTGCACAGGACGCCTGCTGCAGATTAGAAAAAGAAAACATTAAGATACTCAGGTAAGCACAACCAAACAAAGAAAAGCAAATCCCATCTTAATTTAAGATGATAAAAACTAGAATTACATCATATTATGCCTGCTTTACAACATTATCCACATAGCAAAACTCAATTCAAATGTTCAAAGCTCCAAATACTGAGTTCAAAGTTTTGAATGAAACTCCTGGCTGAGGCATCAATGCATAACCCACCCCTCAGTTTTCCACTCTAGTGTTCAATGTCTAAACCCAGTAACTTTCCTACTCCTTCCAAATACATTGCTAATCAATCAAAATCAATCAAAAGAGGGAAAAGGAACAATAAAAATCAAAGAAAAAACAAAAAAAACTTCATTTCTTCAACAGTTGACTTAAAAGCCTAAAACTTTATATTATAGCATATAGCTTCCCCCAAAAAGATGTTCCCACTTTTCCATTAATCTCAAACAATCACCAAACTATGACCATCAACTATATATACCCTCAATCTTAAACAAACTCAAGGGGAAAACCCATTAATCCAATCCTCAAAATGAACTAAAATTTTGAAACAAGAACAAAAAAACTTGAAAAGTGAAAGCAGAAAAATTACCCGTCCACAAACTTCTTCACAAATATCATCAGTCTTCTTGGAATTATAGTACCCTTCAGACATGATTAAACGACCCAACAAGGATTGCCCCTTTCTAATCACTAAAAACCAAAACCTTTGAAAAAAAATGCTGATTTTAAAGGCTTCAACTTTATCAGAATTCAGATCAAAGTCCACCACAGCCCAAAAAAAAAAAAAAAACCCAAGAAGAAGGCCAAATTGGAGAGAAAATTTAGCAAACAAAAAACCCAGTAAAGTTTTAACAATGATCCTCAAAAAAGTAAAGAGAAAATCGTTCTTTCTCTTCCTCCTCTTTTCATCTCCTTCCCTGTAACTCGATTATAGCCGTTTGGTGGTTTTTCGCTTTTTCACAAGATTCTTTTACTCCGAAAACAAACAAGAATTTATAACCCCACAAAAACTCCACGACCAAAAAACCACCCCCACCCGACAAACAAAAATATATAATAAATTAATGTTTAAATATAAAAAAATCTTCACTTAAAAGTAAATATTTGTAAAACTTTCTGTTTATTACAATAATTAAGATTTGAAATATTTTTTTATTCAATTAAATTTTTGATAAAATTAAAATTGTTGATGATAAGAAATTAATTTTTATCTAATAAAAATTTAATTAAATAAAAATAATAAATGCTCAAGATAAAATAATAAAAATTTAAATGATTAGTTAATCTTATTTCTGAGGTTTTTTTTATAATTAAGTCATAAAATAATTATATCAATAAATTTCAATATTTTAGAGTTTCTCTCCTCTACTTTTGCTTGTATATCCAATCGCTCCTATTAGCCGTTCGATTAAGAAAAAAATCTTAATATGTTTGATCAAAGGTGTAGAATTATTTTTTATTAAAAAAATGCAAAATAAATAAATTATTTAATTTAAAAAATAAAAATTATAAATCGAACATTCAAAATATTCTTAATAAGAGATATAAAATCACTTACATAAAAAAAAATGATTTTATCAATTAAATCAACTTCTTGTTGATTGTTGTGAAACTATTGTTAATTTGTTAACTAAAAAAAAAAAAAAACAACTATGGTTTTTAAGCTTGTGCATTTGGAGATTAATATAAAAATAATTTTTAAAATTAAAATTTAAATATAAAAAAATGAATTTACAAATTAAATCAACTTTTTATCACCCTTTCATAGTTTGTAACACTTGATGAAGAAAAATATATGTTTTTTAATGAAAAAGAAAATAGTTTTTAGTATGGAGAATTTTTGTATTTAATTTTAAAAAAATTTGTAACTTTCATATACCAAAAAACCTCAAGATATTAGAAAGAAAATAGTTAATTGGAAAAATGCTATAGGGATATAAATGTAATTTAAGCTTCTTGTAATTGTGAGGTGTTTGTAGAGGATTATCATTCGCTGACAGTCAACTGCTGATCTGTCAACACAGACAGTTGCTAACATGTTGCACTGCTTCAAGTTAACGTGTCCGCGTTGAACGCGAGTTAAACGGTAAATCTTCGTTCTCCGAGGTTTTTCTTACGAAAATGTCCTTGAAAGTGTTTATTTGTCCAGGAAAGGCTAAGGGTGTTTTTGTTATTTGGTAATTTGACCAGTAAATCCATGCGTTAAATTTTTGGGGTTAAATTTGTGTAATTAAAAAACAATCACGTTGTTTAAGGTAAAAAAAAATCATATTTTTTAATAAGATTGTAAATGAATAAAATTTTTAATAAATAATTTGTATCTAGATTTATTATTTATTTATTTATTAAATTTAATAAATTGTTATGAATAATATTTTTAAAATTTATTAATCAAACGAATAAATTAAAAATATTACAAAATTCGTTCAATTTTGATTTATTTATAATTATTTTTACTTGATTTGAAAGGAAATTAAAAAAAAAAAAACATAAAAGGTTTTTGGGATTGTTTAGAAATTGGTCAGAATAAAATCTTTTTATATTTTTGTATTTTTGTAAGAATGGCTTATTTGAGGATTCCATGCAAAATATGTAGAAGTTATAGGAACAAAAATTAAGTAAACTAAGCTATTTTTGGTTTGAAAATTTAGAAAATAATAAAATTAAAAGAATAAAAAATTTTCCTATAAAAATAGAGAACAAAAAATAAATATACATATATATATAGAAGAACGAACATCAATAATACTTATTTATTATGAAACTAATGACTTTTTAAAAAGATTATAAAGTTTTACCTTTAAAATCAAAGAAAAAAGGTTTTCGCCTTTATTCTCATCTTTATATCCATTATCATCATCCTCATTTTTTTTTTAACTTTGTTTTATTTGTATTACTAAAATTTTAAAAGAATTCAAAATTTAATTTAATTGATTTATATAATTATTTTTAACAAATAATATATAATAAATTTTAAAAGTCAAATTTTAATATTTATATTTTTTATTTTATCTCCAAACTGTAACAATTTTTTGGCTTTTTGCAAAAAATATAAAAAAAAGTTTTAAAAGAATCTAACCTTTTAAAATTCTATTCCTTTAATTTGCCCTAAATTGCATAGTTTATCAAATTGTCATTAGTAGATTTTTGTTTTTTTTTTCTTTTTAATTCTACCAGCTGCTGATAGCAATAATTACTAATTAATTTCTTCCAAGTACAAGTTGTAGTACAACATATATGAACTAATTTATGATTTATATTATTAATAAATAATTGATTTAATCGATTAGGTTCATCATTTTCGATGAAAAAAATTTTAAGTTTGAATTTTATCGGTAATTATTTGTTAAAATTATCTCGAATATATAATTTATAATCATCTATCTTAAGCTATCAAGTACGATATATTTTATTTTAACCTAAAAAATTAAACAACTTATCTATCTTCGAATTTTTTCTTTATAAAAAAAAATTATGATTCTGTATTTTCTGAACTATCATTTCCTGGTGAAGGTTTATGGCTCAATTTTATAATGTATTTTTCAAAGCTAGTTATATACCAAACAAATGTATTAAAAAAATACAGAAACAATAATTCCTAGTTTAAAATTAAATTTAATAAATTAATTACAAATCTAGTGTGGAACGAGACTGCATATCTTAATATTGTACTGTTGGCGGGTGTCACCAGGTCAGTTAAATTATTATTTTAAGAAATTAATTTTATTTAATATATTCTCTTATTAAATTCAAGGATAAACAATTCATTAATATTTTTTTAATATTACTATAATAGTATTTAAGATTAAAATCAATATTAATTCATATAATATGTATATCGTCATGGAGATTACGAGTTTAAAATGATTTAAGTGTGTAATATCTTCCACAATTAGGTTAAGTAGATAAGATTTAAAAATTAAAAATAAATTAAAAATTTTAAAAATAACAAATAATAATAAGTAAAAGACAAAAATATTATTTTCTAGTTCACTAGTGGCTTGGCCATATGTCTTTTAAATACACTATTTTTAATCCCTATTGGTTTATATAAAAGTGATGAAAGTTACCTTGCAAGCTAAAGTTCACATTTACTAAGAATCTTACTTCTCTTGACTTTGTTTGATTTAAATTATTAATCATGACATATAATCAATAACAATAACTCTATCCTAAAGAAATTATTAAAATTTAAATCGCCCAATCCCAAATTATATTTAAAAGAAAATGGGGTTTACAATTAATTGTAAATTTTTTTTAAAAAAAAAGTTTGATAAAGCCAAATGGAATGAGACACAAGACTAAATTGATGAAGAAATTATCAACCAATTAACACAAAGGAATGCGTATAACAACAGTGATAGCATAGAATATGCATGGTGATTTTCTAGGAAGCTTCCTGGAAAATTTAATCAAAAAATAACAAAACATTTTTGTTGTTTTTTTTTTTAGGGTTAAGACAATGAAAAAAAAAAAAAAGCAAGCATATTCTTTCCATTGAAATGATAATTGTGAAGGATGGTTCCCCAATCCTCAATTTTTTATATATATTTAAAATTATCAATATTTAAATTCGATCATTAAAATTAAAAATTTTATCAATAAATCATATAACTATTAACAATCTTTAAATTTCTTTTTTTTTTTTTTTTACTTTTCAAAAATGTTAAAATTTAATAATTATAATAAAAAAAATTATGTAAAAGAGTTAGAAAACTAAAAAATCTTTTTACACTGTTAAAAAATAATGGAAATGTCTATTACTTTCCTCATAGATTGACACGGCACGTTGAACATTTCTATTACTTTTTAATAGTAGAAAGGATCTTATCCTTAAAAAATACTTAGACTAAATCAAATTATTAATATTATAAAAAATAATTAAAAAAAACCCGTAATATTGCTGCTTTAGCTAATTTGTTGAACTGCATTATCGATGAAGTTAGCTGGAAATTTTGTCTTTTTAAAACATTGTAATAAACTCCGTTGTTAAGTTTACAAGAAAGGTTCTTAACTATTATTGATAAAGTTTTAGTTCCATAACAGAACGGAAACAATTGCTTTGGGTTTTTTAGACTTTATAATATAAAATACAACACATTAACATAATATGAATATCATACGACTAAAAAATATAAAAATAATACAATTTAAAATTTTAATAATTATTATATATAAATTAAATAAAAAAATATTTTATATTTTTATATCGATATGAATTATAATATATAATTTTTATATAAAATATAATAAATATACATAAATTTTTAATATTTTATATGAAATGAATATACGATTCATAAAGTTTAATTTTTAGTGAATTTGACCATCATTTTTGACAGCTAAGGTTGAATTTGGAATAAAATGACACCGTAAATCAATAAAAATATTTTTTCTTATGTTGTCAAATGAATTTTAAAAAGATAAAATTTAAATTAAACTTGGATTGTTATTTGTGATTGAAATTAAAATAAAAATTGAGAAATGTATTCAAACAACTCCAAGACATCCAATATCTTGATTTCCATCTACCTTTTATCATGTTTTGGGCATTAATTCAAATGGGATTATGTGATTTTTCTCACTTTAGTTAATTTGTTGATAAGATTTGTTAAGTTTCCTACCATCACCATGAACTTTGTCATCTTTCTCTGTCTGTCTCTTTTTTTTTCTTTTTTTTTTTTTTCATGTCTTTTGTTTTCTAGCAATCACCCATTTGTCATCTTTTGGCACCTCTGACTTTCTTAAATTATCTCTCTTCTATGTGTACTACAATTGGTAACTTTTGTTGGATGTAAATGTTAATAAATCGAATTTAAATTAATATAATATTAAATTTAAGTTTAAATTAGATTTAAAATTTAATTTAAATTTAATTAAATTTATTTTTTTAGTTTAAATTCGACTCGAGATATAAATTAAATTATTCAAATTCATTCGATTAACATATAAAAATAAATTTAATTATTATATTTGATAAAAATTCGATTATTATACTTAAATTTGAATTTAAATTTGAGATATTTTATTAATTAAATAATTAAA